AAAAGGACAGGTGCTTGTGAGAACACTAATTCTCTGAGCACACTGTTTCAGAAAAAGGCGAGAGACTTTTGAATATTTTGGATGAGTATGACACTATTGTCACATTGTGTGTAGATAGTTAACCAGCTATGCCACGACGTGAGATTTTTTGTTTTTCAGTTTTATTTCTTGGCTCATACACGCGCTGACAGCTGTTTGGATCCGGTAGCAGGGGAGGACACTGAGAGATAGGTAAAGACTAGTTTAGTGGTGTTTCAGGGGCTTTCTCAGTGTGTGCCTTCAGCACCATGAACACACACACACACACACACACACACACACACACACACACACACACACACACACACACACACACACACACACACACATACCAGCAGTGCTAATAGTCCCAGAGTAGACCAGTTGCCAGTGGACTGAGAGGTGGCCTGATCAGTTTTTGCTCTGATCAGTTTTGTTCAGTGATCTTAGTTTTAAGGTGGGATCATGCCTCTAACGCTACCTTCAACCATGCTTATGAAGGGAAGGCCACAACAATGCTGCCTATCACATATTACAGGTGAGTCGTGAAAACCAGATGTCATATTTTTGATATTTGTTCAATTTGGCAAACCAAGTCTTCTCCAAATTTTACTTGATATATCTCCTTGGAACTCAGCCTTTGTGTTTCTTGGTTATTTACTACTACTATTAACTTTGTCTTAGAGATTTGAGCGAAAGACATCATGCAGTGTTCTGTGTTTGAGGCATTGGAGTATCTGCAGTGTCTTATTTTAGTGGCTGTGTATTAGAGTCTCATGTATGACAATGCTTCATCTGAGAAATGATCTATTTTTCAAAGATAACTGTCTGTGGTCGGTTTTTGCATTTGTCTTATTTCAATTTATTTCTTTATTTTAAAATGAATGAAAGTCCCGCAAAAATGCAATACTTTTTCTTATTTCTAATATTTCTATTTCTAATTGTTATACCATAAAACAAAAGAATTGTTACACAAATATCACTTACACTATCTTTAACTCTGGACTTTACTATTTTTTTTACCCTTAAGTTGCATTTAATGTGTCATAAGAAGACTGTAGCTTTTGTAATACTCTCATCTCATCCTAATTTATCGTGAATGTGTTCACCGCCTGCGGACGATGGTTTTCTAAGACATTTACTGAACTGTCTGATATCATTCTTGATGCTTATGAAATCAAAGTGAACCAAAAGAAGATTCACTTCAGAGAGAGAAGCAGCTGACACAGCAGTAAAACCAAATTTAATGTAAAGGCAGTTGAAGAGTTGTTCAAAAGACAGGAAGATAAAGATTTAATGCAGCACAAGAGGAAAGGTGATGATTTAGCTTTAATCATTTCTTGGAATAGAGGCACCAGGCAAACAAAGGGAGAGTGTCTAAGCAGTATTTGTATCACTCTTCTTTTATGTTTCCGTTTTCAAACTCTTGTTCAAGAAGCTTATATATAAAAATGCCACCGGCTACTTATATGCCCACCTATGCTCATATAAAAGCCGAGTCACTCATGTTTGTTAAAAGGAAAAGAGGCAAAAAGGTGTGAGGAAATTCAGAGAGAGCAAAGAGATTAGACTGTTGATTGGATATGGTTCCCAATTCAGCTCCCTGCCAGTGCCAATAAGAAAGCGGAGATACAATAGTAAAGGAAGGGAGGACAGGGACACGAGGGGGGAGGCTGGAGGTAGGGGGAGTTTGAGTGTAATGGAGTCAAGACCCCTAACAGGTTGTCAGATGCTGCTCACTTGCTGCACAGTCCCTCCTTACACACACGTAAATATACAGCTGGTGTGTTAGTGTGTGTGGGTGCACCCCAGTGCTAAATCTTAATTACACAATGGAGTGCAGGCCATGTGCCATCTCATCATGCCATGTCAAATCTCATAAGCAACAGTAGAAAACGTGAGAGGAAGCGCGAGGGACAGAGATGCAACAGTATGACACTGAGAAAAGTGGTAGAGTGCATACCATACCTACACAGAAAATAAGGGAAAACAGATTTGAAAGGGAGAGGGAAAAAAAGACGAGTCGCAATGGGAAGTAAATCTTTGTCTGGGATGCTCTGGGGTGAAACTACTATTGTCCCTCTTTCAACTTAGAGAACATAAAAGGCTTTTTTTTGTTGCGTCAACTTGCGTGAATGTTTGTGATTTTGCCATCAGCCCCCTTAATACGAATTAAATCTAAAAAAAAACCTCTGCTGCTCCCAACATTGAGCGGCTCTAGTTTGTCCCAGGATGAGCTGGCGGATGAATACACAGTTCTAGCATGTCAGAGAAAGAATGGGGCTGGGGGCGTTGTTGTGGCCCGCTGAGTCATCGTGGCCAGGGTGATCTCTAAAACAGCCCCCAGCCCCCCAGAGTAATGGTTAATCGTGGGAAGTCTGGTGTTAGGGTAAGTGTGCCTGTGTGTAGGCCAAGCCTGTTTCTGGCCGGTTGCGGTGGGTTTTGGCGTGCCGTGGTGTGACAGGGCCAGTCAGGCGGATGGGGCGTGTGTTGTTGTAGCCGTGGCAGTGGGGAAAGCCCTGTACAAGCAGCTCTCAGCTCTGCTGGCTGGGAGAAGAGTCGGGGCAGCTCTCCCAGAATAAAAAGCAGAAAAAAAGCTCTGTCCTTTTGTTTTCACGGCTGTTGTGTTCCCTCTGCTGTGGGTTTGGGAGTCTGGTCAGTGTGTCCCCCTTGGTTGTCTGTGACTGTCTCGTTGTGATATTCAGTCCTATTCTGGACCTCTGGTGTTGTGCTCTGTCGCCACAAAATCTCACCTAGACATAGTCCACTTCCTGGAATGGAGGTGGCAACCCAGGAAGTGCAACCTTTGAACCACAAAGTGCTGAGTGGAAAGTAGTGCATTTAAATGGCAGAGGGTAACATTCTCATAATCACAGGAACAGAACATGTACATCATACAGTATGCAATACACATGAACTGGATTATATTTCTATAGTTAATTAACATACAGCAACACATGAAAACATGTTTTACAGAGAGGAGGGGGAAAAAGAAAGATACTGATCGCTTAAGGCAGGGACACATTGACACATGATTGTTTTACTGATTATAAATATGATTTAGGTGTGATGACTGATGGGACAAGTTGGACTGAGTCTGTTCCAGTGTGGGTCATTGTTTTAAACATGACGGATATTTATGTCTGGAATCAAGACCTCTGACTGGATTGGATTGTGAGAGTGGTAGAAAAAATTAAATATAAACAAAACTGTCCAATAACAATGAGCAAACCACTCTTTAGGTATTATTAATACCATAGCTCCATCCACCATCTTGTCTAAATTTAAGCATAAATGACCAAGGCAAACTCTTTTAGATGAATCTGTTTCTGTTTTGGTAACACAAAATAAATTGTGTTCTCGCAGGATTGGAAATCTAATCATTACTAATCCCAAGTGTGTTAGGGTGTTGTGGAAGTAGTCATTGGCTTTAGACTACCAGTACCTTATTTGTGATCTGATGTATGAATAGCTGGCGCAATAGGTGAAATGTTAAAACTCACTTTGAGGCATTAGTACTTTTCAGCTGCATAAAAGAAGAGAAAATTGAGCAAGCATCTACAACTAAAATATATATAGTTTATAACAAACCAAAGATGGGACAAGCAGTCTTGATATTTTTCTTATTTTCATCGTATAGCTCTGGATACAGTGCTCTTTCTTATTAGCTCTAAGAAGGGTTTCCTGCAGTACATATCGTACATTGATCCTTGTTGGCATGTAACAAGTATTCATGCATCTATCTGTGTATTAGTCTCTAATCCTGTGCCACATCTGTATCTCAGGCTTGCTCTGTGGCTCTACAGTGCCTTTCTGGTCGTGTCTGTAGCAGGCTAATTGGCTCTAGTCAGTCTCTGTCTGTCTCAGACCTGCAGCAGATGCAACTGCAGAGCATGACGGTGTCACAAATACACTATTCCACTAGCTGCATTATGCTGATGTTCTATACTGTACACAACTAAAGAACACAAAGCACACACATATAGAAATACATACACACACTTGCTCATACAGGACACATATACACTCAGCTGGTTGCATATAAGAATATCTAAGGACTGGAACTCTGACATAATTTACTACCTCACTGCATTTAACATCCCTTCTCTTTCCCAGCTCTTCATCTTATCCAGTTTGGACAGGAGTCGCTGAATAGCATAAAACATTTATGTCTTCAGCATTTAAATTATGTGTGAGAGACTGTGCATTTACTCTGTGTGTGTGTGTGTGTGTGTGTGTGTGTGTTGTGTTTGTGTATGTATGCCATTCCCAAAGCGCTGTGATTTCTGTCTTTAAACCAGGTCTGGATGTGAAATTGCTGATTTTTCTTTAAATTGTTATTTAAGTACTTTTGAGGCATTAGTCCAACATTTCATAGTGTATAGAGGATACACTATGAAATGTTGGACTAATGCCATCCCCCAAAACTGGACTGCTGCTTGCAGAGAAATGTGGAAGATAAGTCTCTATACAGCAAAGCTCTAGGGCTGCAGAATTAATCGAAATATTATCAAAATCACAATATGGCCATGTGAAATATCCAAATTGTAGTAGCTGTAACTTTTTGATTAGTAAAATTTGTGGCAAAACAGCATTATAATGAAGTACTGCAGTGCTGCAGAGATGCCCTAGCCTACAAATGATGTTTGTTTGGTACAGACCCCAACAAATGTCACATCATGATCATAATAATAGTTTTTTTCAGTGAACATGCAAATTGTGATAATAATCAAAATAATAATTTCTGCTAATTGTGACTCATCACAATCCCAATATCATTTTACACAACAAAGAAAACTCTTCTTATTTCTTGAAGGACAAGTAAACCCTTTGTTTTACAGGTGAACTCCTCAGTCAAACACAAGTCTGCTCACGATTCGAGTGTGTTTCTAATGTCTGGTTGCTATCGCTCCTGCATGCTTAGGTCACAGCTTCATTATCTGACAACAACTGACTGAATTCTTCTGTCTTCGTTTCTGCAGGCACAGAAATCGTGGATAGAAAGAGCGTTCAGCAAGAGAGAATGTGTTCATATCATAGTGAGCGCCAAAGACCCCCATAGGTGAGTAAGAATGTGTGTGAAGGTTGTGTTTGCAGTGCATGTAAATTACATTATCCTCCTTATTCCAGTCAGTCATTTTTTATTTTGAATTATGGAAGAAGTAAGAGATGAGGAGATTTTTTTATATATATTTTAGATTCAGCTGCTTGATTTGCCATAAAAGTTACAAGACTTTAATGGGCAAGTTAGCTAATGTGACTACTGACCTTTTAAAACATGCCTCAGAGTAATATCATGCTGGCCTCAATTTGCATCACAGGTAGATGCTCCACACTAATGAGCCAAACACTCACATTATACTTTTTTAAAACCACAAATGTGAAATTCAGGGCCAGGCCAGTTCATGAAGATAGTCAAACATTCCACATCATTTGAAAAGGTTATTATTTTAAGCCCACAGGAGCGTACTGCTAAGAATAGCAAAGTGTAACTGTGAAAGGGTTCGTTATTGAATGCTTTACTACAGCTGATGTTGTTGCTTAGGGTGACAAACTCAAAGAGGCAAGTCTAATTCCTGCAGTACCGGCCCTCATACACACACACACACACACACACACAGGAAACGCCAGTGTTTGTTAGGTAAACATAATTAGCATAACTTGAGGAAAGCGGGTGGAAGCCCGATGTTCCTCAAGATCAAATCAAGTTTTCTCTTTTTAGTCAAAAACACTTGTGCTGACGCATAAGGCAGAAGGAAGCAAAGTACCTTTGGTAAGAGATGACGGAAACATGAAGTGATAATCAAAGCCTCCTGACTCCATTTCCTCCCAGGGCTCCCATTCAATCCTGTAAGGTTGAAACACAGAATATAAAAGCTACATTCAGTACACTTGAATAAGTATGTAGTGGTGTAGGAATACTACAATACACATAACTGTCATTCTGCTAACTCCTGTAGAAGCTGAGAGGGTGAAAGAGAGGATAGAAAAAGTAAGAGCTAAAACCAAAAAGCGAAAAGATTGCAGATCCCTCTCCTCCTCTCCTCCCAATCAGGAGATGAATGTCAGATGACAAGCTCAGCTCAAGTAATTTCAGCCTTGCCCTCCTCTTACTGCTAGGCACATAACCATTGCAGCTCTCACACCTTTTCTCTCCCTATCTCAGTCACACACAATCTCTCTCTCGCCCTCTTCTTTTTCTTTCTCAATGCTATAGTATCTTGGGGCTCTGGCTTCTCAAGATTTCACTTACTCTCTGTAAAGGACTGTGTAATATAATATCTCACATTCACTTTCACTTACTCCTCTCATCTAGGTGCTGTTGTGGTCGTCTGATAGGTCAGCATGTGGGCCTGCCCCCGGGCATTGCATCCAGTCAGAATGATAAGGCAGAGCGTTTGGCCAAGAATGACAGCCTGTCGGAGAAGTGGTCGATCAGCAAACACACACAGCTCAGCCCCACTGATGCCTTTGGCACCATTGAGTTCCAGGGAGGAGGACACTCCAACAAAGCCATGGTGACTCTGATAAGAAATCTACTGTGTTGCATTTGTCAGTGTCCTGCAGCAATCTTGCTGCTCGGGTCAACTTCGAAGGCAAACGAGAACAGTAGTCCAAAAATACACAAACAAACAACACAAGGGAGAAAACAGTAAACTGGTGACACCTGATTTTGACCTCAGATGGTAGCACTCGCTCATGTGAATAAGTAGGGTTTTGAGAGATGCATCATTCCCCCAGATTTTGATTTGAATGTGAAGAATGGACAAATGGAGATTTATAGAAGGATGTCAAGGAGACAAATAACACAAGATGTCATGATGACATGAGTTGTCGACGATGGAGTAGACTGAGTCGTCCCTGCTGAGTATACTGTAAGAAGAGGATTGTAAAAGCTGAAAGCTGAAAGTGCAAAATAATTGAATGTGATTTGTAGATATTTTACCCAGCTGCAGTAAACTGATGCAGAGTGACAGTGCACAGGTACAGAGGAAGAATGTGTTCGATGCTTAAAATGATTAATTCTCCTCTTGATCTGGATGGAACATTTATAGCAGCGCTGTGAAAAACAATATCCTAATGATTGCCAAGTGTTTTTGTCATTTAAGACATTTTATACGTAGTTCAAATACAAATGGTACTGACATGTAATGAGGTCTCGTCTAGAGTCCTTGTGTACCTTCCCCAATCCAGCTTCTCTTCAAATTACACTTTAACCGGCTACATAATCAAATGTAAAAGCATCACACATATGCAGAATGCCAGAATTCAGCATATTAAATGAATAGCAAAATCTATTAAATGAGTATAATTATGTGTCATTACATATATTTAAAAGATGTAAGTGTTGCCTGATTAATCAATCCATCCCAAAAGTAGTCTGATTGTACATCTTATTCACACAGTCTCTGTCTATGATAACCACAATGACAGAGTCACATCACACATACTGTAGCATTCAGGGAACTCAGATGGTTAAGCCTAAATTCTGTCTGATTTATTTCCAGTGTTAAATTACTAATCCATACACGTGTCAGGTAGGGTGTCTGAGGGTGAATTAGATAGGTAAACAGATGTTCTTTAATGCATGTGGTTCTCCAATCATAGCAAACATCTGTTCAATATTGCTGTAGCTTAAAAATGTAAGGCATACACACACTCATGCAGATCTGCAACACTAATCTATTTCCATTTGATTTAGTTTATTTCACATTTAACGCTTTTATAATGCACATGTGTTTATATGTTTATGTCTGTGGCACATGCAGACTTCAAGTCATCATGTGCCTGAGGGTGATGCAGATGTGCTCCTGTTCACTACTGACACATGCCCCACTGTTTTCAGTACGTGCGAGTGTCTTACGACACCAAGCCTGACCTGCTGCTCCACCTGATGACCAAGGAGTGGCAGCTGGATCTGCCCAAGCTGCTCATCTCAGTCCACGGAGGCCTGCAGAACTTTGAATTACAGCCCAAACTTAAACAGGTCTTTGGCAAAGGGCTCATAAAGGCTGCCATGACAACAGGAGCCTGGATCTTCACCGGAGGGGTCAACACAGGTGAAGTACAGTACATACACGCAGTTTATTTTTAGAACTGCGTAGTGTAAATAATATTCTGTGAGGCGATTGTATCAGTAATATTCAAACTCACCTATTTTCATACAAATTGTGTTACCATGTACTTGTGCTAGGAGTGTGTTCAAATGTTCCTCATAAGTTATCAGCTATTAAACAAACATTTATCAAGCCTCTCAGGCCTGTAAAGTTGTTGAACCACTGGATCATTGCAAGAGTGTTCTTTTAAGTATATTATGGGCACTCAGCTATACTTAGAGACACTCATAGTTAGACCAGACTGGTGAAGTGATAGCTCTCAATTATTATTTCATGCATCTTGAATGAAAATAGTGTCAGGGAGTCTAGACTGCTTATTTGTGTCAATAAAAGTCAATGAAAGGGTGTCATATTTAAACCAAAAGGTGCACAAACTGTATCACAGACTGTGGCAGGAATTACTGAGGAGGCAATTAGGGCTATCATAGGAGTGGGTTTCGTTTGAAAGCAGTACAGGAAGTTCCCTGTTAGAGCCCAGTAGAATCAAGGCTGTGGAGAAGATCGGCTTAAGACTTAGGAGATGTCTTTCTGGCGATACCGAGTAGCTAGATGAATTTGGCCATGAGCAGATTTACGAAGAGCTCAGTAGACTAGAACATACAGTAGGAGGTGGAGGGTTGGAAGTGTAAAAGCAGTCCAGAAAGAAACCGATTGGAGTCTGACAGTAACAAGATGATTGGGTAACAGTGTTACATTTGAAATGAATAAAGGGAAAAGTCAGCTGAAAGATTGACAGCACATGAATTATGCATATAGAAAGTGTTCTCTATGGGTAAACTTGACCACCACTATGTGTCTGACCTTGGTAAGCTATGGATAGTGGCGTGAAGTCTTGTCTGCTCCAGTTTGACACATCACATATCATGTAGTGCATTGTAGTATCTTGAAACTTAATATCAATGATTACCATGCACTGATATTAAAAATAATTAGTGTGTTGGGTTAGCTCACTTGGTAGAGCTGGCGACCATGGACCGAGTCCTCCAGCGGCGGCCCAGGGTTTGAATCTGACCTGTGGCCCTTTGCTGCATGTCATCCCCTCTCTCTGCCCCCCTTTCCTGTCTGTCTCCAGCTGTCACTGTCAAATAAAGACAATAAAAAGCCGAAAAAATAGCTTTAAAAAATATATATAATAATAATAATAATAATAATTGTGTGTTACAAAATAAAGAGGATTTTATATATTGGGATTGTTTGGACTGCATATTGATTTCTTAGCTTTTAACCTTTGGCCAAACATTATCAGTAGTGTTAATACTGGATTTTTTTATCAGTGCTGTTACACTTTTTCTTTAATGTAGGCGTTTATATTGTTCTTGTATTGTTTCTAGCTATAGGAGAGATGAACAAATGAAAAGAAATGTACAGCATTGGTGATGTAGAGTGCCCACACTTGAATGCAGAAAGGAATATAAAGTAAGATTTAGTGACAGAATGGGTGCAGAGGCAGGAAGAGGGAGGCCTGAATAATGGATTGAGGGATGGATTGGAGGGATAGCTGAGGGTGGAGGTGCAGAAAGAATGAATGTCAACAGGAGAGATGGGATAAGATGGCCTCCAGGTCTGACTGCTGCTCCCCTGAGGAACACAACTAGAGGCCTGGAGCTACATCTGTGTTTTAAGCTGTGTGTGTGTGTTCACATTGGCTGCTCCCTGTTGTCTTCTGCACTTAATAGATTCTTCTCTTTCACAGCAGAGTTTATCATTATCTAAGTTTAGCCTCTCTATTGATCGTAACAAAACTGATTTTGTTTTCTGTTTCTCTCTCTTTCTCTAAAAAACTCTCAAACATGTATGCACACACACACACCCACAAATACACACAGGGGTGATTCGCCATGTGGGTGATGCACTGAAAGACCACGCCTCCAAGTCAAGGGGGAAGATCTGCACCATTGGCATTGCTCCATGGGGTATCGTAGAAAATCAAGAGGATCTTGTTGGCAAAGATGTAAGTCGCTTAGTACAAACAAACAGAACAATATGAAATAGTAACAGAGTGGGTGTTTGCATGCTTTAGCCCTGGTTTGTGTGTGTATATGTGAAAAATGTCAGTGACAGTCGATAGTTGCCAAAGCCTGTGGAACGCAGTTGACAGTTTATTAACTGAGATGCTGAGTAAGCCAATTCAATCTGTGATACACACTCCTTCAAAGTGAGTTGGACAGCTGGCAGAACCACATGAGACTACCGAGCACATGCTGACTCATTCAAATCTCTGGTATCAATGCTGTGTTATAGTTAAAATTTCATCAGAATGTACTGCACTATGTCCTACTGAACAAGTCAAGCAGAGACGATTAATGTTGGTGGCTGTAATGAGATTATTAAGTGCTGAAGCTCTTTTTTCATGCTTGATTGGTTTTAACTGTAGGCCTAATGAGTAGATGACTTTACCTCAGATTGTCAGGCGCTGCCCCAGCAGACTTAATCCGAGCTTTTGAGAAAAATTAATGTTGTATAAATATTCACCCAGTTTTGAGCGGAATTTAGCTGAATTTTAATACCAGCACAATACATGTGTTGTTTGAAATTGTGGAATTGTGTGAATGTATGAGGGTGTGTTTCTGAGCTATAATTGCAGTACAGTTTTAAATTGACTGCACTCACATAGCTCAATTATGATCTTCTGACCACTCGAAGTGCTTTACATTCTCCCATTCTCACTCATGCAAGGTGCCAACTGCTCATCCGAACCTAACCAATCCCATTCACACCGATGGCAAAGCATAGGGAGCAATTTGGGGTTCAGTAACTCATCCAAGGACACTTGCAGAGGGAAAACCGGGGTTCAGACCACCAACCCTCTGATTAGTGGACAACCTGCTCTACCTCTTGAGCTACAGCCGTCCGAGACAGCCATAGCTATTGAAAATACGTCAGAGAATACATAGATTTTTAATTTTTGTAATTATTTATTAAGAATCAAAGAAACTTTTTAGTTAAATGCCTAAATGTTGATATCTTAAAAGATCCCTAGTAAATGCTGGTAATTTTTTCAAACTTTGGAAAGCTTCGTCTAGAGCCGCAGAGGAGTATTTGAACTTTAGGTAAAAAAAAATCTGTGCAATGCTTTGTCAAGTTACTACATACCCCTGTCAGCCGTGGGCTTCTCAGATGTTTGCGTAACTGTTCAATGTTATCTTCTCTTGGCTAGGTGGTGCGTCCATACCAGACCATGTCCAACCCTATGAGCAAGTTGACGGTTCTAAACAGTCTCCACTCCCACTTCATCCTGGCAGACAATGGCACCACGGGAAAGTACGGCGCTGAGGTCAAACTGAGACGCCAGCTAGAGAAACACATCTCCCTGCAGAAGATCAACACACGTGAGTGGAATCTGCTGTATCTGCCTGTCATAGCTATTACCAGGCTGACCTACTTACCCAAAATTAGAGGAGGTGTTTTTAAATGAAACTGTGAGTGATAACAGCATAATGAAACTGTAATCCTTGTTTAATCAACGACACCACTATGGGTTAATTGGGTTCAAACTCTATTTTATAGCTGCAACCAGACTAACATGATCATTACCTGCTTTATACTGAACACATGCTGTCACACAGTGTATTTTTAGCCAGCTGTGATATAACTCTGTGAGCCTTTGAAACTGTCCCTCCCTTCAGGCGGGGTTTATTTTTTCTTTCAAAGCTTCCTGACAGCTCAGATGAACTCCTCAAATAAACCTGCTTGATAATCCTTGTCTCCCTCAAAACTATAAAAAAAAAACAGTTTACAAACACAGATATAATGACCAGCACACAACCACTGTACACATAAAGGGCTGAAAGCTACATCAGATGTGTTTGTATTTCTTAAATTGTATTTTTATGTTTATTTGATACTTGATAGTACAAACCAATTGGAACATGGTATGTGGGGATTTTAAACCACTGAGTCGCAGATGACAGGATGGCCTAATTTTAAAATAAAATAAATAACAGGGTATTACAACACACCACCACTGTTGAAACTCAATGGAATCTCACTCTCCTCTGTATTCCTGAGCAGCTCTCCATGTCTTCATTTTAAAATTTGTTGCATCAGAAGAAAAATATCTTCATAAAAGGGCCGCAAGAATGTATTTGAACTCTGTGTATTTTGTATTTGTCTGTGTGTCTAAATGCGTAGGTGTTTCTGTCCTGTGTGTATAGTAATGTGTATTTGTGTCTACACATGCACGTATTTGTCTTTTGTGTGGAGTGTTCATCCACCATTGAGCCCTTGTCACTTTGCATTTCTCCGTTTTCAATTTCCACATTATACCTTAGCTAGAAACCAAATGAATTTGCATGAAAACAAAATGCATTTCTCCGTATTTTCCTGTCTCATACTCTTATTCTCTGTCTCACACACACACACAAACAAAGACACAAGCACACACAAACCTCCCCGATACCCTTTAAACACATTTCTCAATTGCCTCTCACAGCATTGTCTAGAATGTGTCAAGGCCGGGAACAAACCTGAGTCAGAGAAATGTTGTTTGCAGCCATGATTTATTTGTTATTACCTTCTTTTGTTGTCAACATAGAGCCATTTTATAATCGTTTGCTCAAGGTTTGGGTGACATGAGTGCACACATTTGAACATCAATGCTTATTTAAAAACTGAGGGTGTCAGGAAGTAGATGTTACCAAATGGATACATGGTAACAGTGCTGAGAGCAATATCATGGCTCACACCTTACGTTTGTCAGCACCATTTGTGTTCACTGTCACATGTATCGCAGATGTTTGCTTGGAACTTCCATGTTCCTTCTAACCCCTTGACTTCAGGGATCTAAGAAATGTCTGTGGGGTTGACAGGATACACGAATGTACTTCCTCACTGTTCATCATCCAGTCATGTGACCTATGGACTTCCCTTTGTCATCCTATGCCTGGACTCATACAAAAGGGGCTGGGAAGGCAAAGGGACGCCCAGTGGTCATACAAGCATCTGACCATCCATATGATGGTAATGTTACTGTATCGTCATTATCTGACTAGCTTTGATATACTGTATATGTGGGATTTAGTACTAATGAAACAAGTTGATAGAGGACCATGTGCACTGTACATCTGCTGCTGACCATTACCTACAGATTCTCTCACACTGACCTTAACCTGTCTGAGGGTACACTGATAACCAGCTTCAACTGTATAACCTGTCACTCAAGTTGTCAACCGTTGCCTCTAATAACTATACAGTATGAAGTGATTTGGTACTTGTATCTGTGACCCATGTGAAGAGCATTATTTCCACTATCAAAGCAAGTTCATCCTTTTTTGTCCGTGCACTGTTTTAAATTAAATTGAGAACATGTGTTCAACCTAATGCTAATCTTGTTGCTGAGGTTCAGAAATTTCAGAATTTTGTAGTTTTGTAGATGAGGATTTGTTAAACATTACCATAAAGCTAATATAAGATCACTGCACTGGTTATAACCAACTGTTGAGTATGGCCAAGGCAAAATAAGTGCTTAAAATACATTTTAATGGTCTGTAGTATACACCAATAATAAAAAATACAGGTGCGGCTGCTGCAGGCATACTCTCATTAATAAGTCAAGTCAATTTTATTTATAGCGCAATATCACAAATCACAAATTGGCCTCAAGGGGCTTTAAAATATGTACAGCATGCAACATCTTAGACTAATAAGAGGTATTAAAAAGAAATCAAGTTAATAAAAGTTAATAAATATACATTTTTGATTCTTTATGTCTGTGAAATGTAAGCCCCATTAATGCTTTTTAGCTTCTTAGCTTTTTAACATGGGAAAAAAACTCCACTGCAATCCTGAAGTTCTGCATATCAACAAACAGACAAAATAAGTTAAACTCACTATTCACATACCTACCACTTACCCATTTTCTTGTTGTATGAATGTTGTTACAAATCCTGTTGCAGTTTTGCAACTAAATGTGCAACCCCAGTGTGTTTTTACTGTATGTGCATGTGTCTGTACGATGTAGTGTACCTTTCTGAGAGTGTGTGTCTTTTACTTCCTCGTTTACAGCTCTAGGGTTGGCAGAAATGGACCATTTCTTGATTTGATTACCTGTCCACAGTCAATCGAGGAGTGCATCAATTTTCCACACAGCAGGGCTCCTGTGGGATCCAAGTATAGCCTTAGGTCTTGTCAGGGAAAGGAGGATAAATAAAGGAAAGAGTCAGTTTAGTCTGAATGGCCTAACATGTGTGTTGTAGACCACACATAACCACAAGCTCCTTTTTTTCCGTCTTTTTACACTTAACACCCAGTCACACACAGTGCATACAAACACAAGATGAAAGAAGTGTGGTGAATAGATATGCGTAATCTCCCCCTGTGGTATTTTTGTGATGTCTGGGCAATCCTGTAGCTAATCCCACTGTGTCTGTGTGCAATTTTCCATGCAACGGCTATCACCATGTGACTGCCGGAAATGCTGTAGCAATCAAATTGGCTCCACAATATTATAACACAGTTTTTAAACATGGGTATCAATTCTATAAAATAAATGGCATTTTGGTCTCACTACAGCAAGTTTTGTTATGTAGTACACTACATAACAAAACTTGTATTGGAAGGTCATGATAACTCTACTGAAACATTGCTACATTATGATTGCCAAAAGACATTTATGGTCATTTTGCACGTTGCCCTTTTCTATTGTAAGTTATGGCAGCACCATTGTTGGCTGTCAAAACTCATCATTGGAGCACAGTTGTGCATTCCCGAAACCTCTTAACTCCACCCTTGATGACAAGACGTATGTATTCCCTCTGCATACTTTCTCCTCCAGTCGCTACTGTATATTTTATGTTGTCAAAGGTGTCACCTTGCGTGGTTTTGTACCTCTTCAATGGAAAGTGGACACGAATCCCTAAGGGACAGCTCTGGTCGAGTGTAAACACAATAAATCTCTTAAGACAGGAGACTAGGGTTGGGAGGCTGTAAATATGGTGGATGGAGACAACACATTCACACGCTAGAGTAAATGCAGTTCTGTGCCCTGCAGTACATGCAGGGCTCTCTCGTGACTTAGCTTGATAGAACGTGGACAGGGATGCAGATGCAGATGCAAATGAGACTGGATTACTGTGACAAGGATTCAGTTCAGGCAGCACAGGACACTTCACATGCAAACAGATGGACAGAACTTATAAACAGTGACGATGAACATACATCACATAATCATATACAAATTGTTCATTAGAAAAAATAATTCTCCTCCCAACACACTTTGATGTATGCTCTTTCAGGTCACACACACACAGGGACATAACTCCACTTTAACTCCTTACCAGCTCCTGAAGCTAGCAGACATTGTCAAACTCAAAGATGAAGAAAATCAATAAAATGATTGGCACCATTCAGCACAGCTCACTCAACCATTGCACAGCTCTTTTGACATGTCTCCAGCAGTGGCCTTAATGCTTTTTAATCACACACCTGCCTCAGAGAGATGACAAGTAAAAGAGGGAGGAGAGGGAGAAAATGAAGACAGAGGAAAGAGATTGAGGGCGAGCAGACAGGGAAGAGAATTATATAAAGAACGAAGGACGCGTGAAGCTGCTGAGGAGGATGCAGGCACTGAGAAAAGATATTACCTTAAGGTGTTTTCACTGAAATTGTGAAAAGGCAGCAAGAGAAAGGACATAAAAGGCTTCTTCCATGAATACTTACTTATTTTTCTTTCTTAAAACTGAACAAGAAAAAATATGAAAACCATTTTATTCACTCATGCTTTTGTTTTGAAAATTTTAAATTGGATGCACATGCCAGGTCCAAAGAGGAATAAAAGTTATTAATTTGTGCAAGTTTAGATAAAGTCTGCAAGAATGAATGAGCCACCTTGAGTGTGCCCTCTTCCATTTCACCTAAATTGCATTGAATATTAAAATGGGTGCATAAGTACTTTGTCTATTGAATTTGTGTATAGGTGTAGGCATGTGTGTGTTTTAACTCTGTGTCTACTGTATAACCTTCACTGACCCTCATATAGCAGTGATTTCATTAATCACAGCAAAGGTAAAAGATGAAGTAGCTGGGGTAATTGAATCCAGAAGCCATAAGGCCTTGCGTTGCAGATTAGCTGTGACATTGTGACCTCCACCGTGAAGCAGCCAGAAGAGATTATAGTTTAACCATGGTACATGCGAAGTCAAGGGGTTTGTAAGACTCTTTTTTTAAGCACCATAAGTGCCTGGACAAACTCTTGATTTTTCAGATATAGCTAATAATATCGCCCCCTTTTTTATGCTGTCCAGCTGTTACCAATTGGATTACTTAGTGGCTCTTGTTCTTTGACACATATCACACAGCTGCAATGTGTCTGAATGTGGCTTAGAAATTTTAC